TTCTGTTTTTACAGCAAGATTAAAAAGACTCTTCCCAAGTCTTCAAAACGGTTCTACTTGGCACAAACACTAATTAAACACAAAAAACACAACCAAAACAGAGGCTATATAAATTATTTATTACTAAACAGGAGCAAAAAGCAAGGAATAAAATAAAATTGGGTTGCCTCCCAATAAGCGCTATCGTTTAACGCCTCTAGCTAGGCATAAAAGCAAGGATAGATCTAGGTATTGCCATAATAAAAAGATAGATCATTAAAACTCATTTCATATTCTCTATGTTCGGCAACAAGTTTTATTTTAGGTAAGCAAAATTAATCAAAAGGGCTAAATTTAATGGGACAAAAGTCCCAAGATCAACTTTGGGAGGTATAGGTTCCTCTCTTGGCCCTTCGTATTGCACAACCAATTCATCATTGTAAGCATTCTTTTGACAGAACTTTGTGAGCCTATACTCAAGAGAATATCCTAGTTCATTATTTCGAATAGCCAAATCATCATTAAGTTCAGAAATTCTATCAACGTTCCTAGCCAACTCATCAATCTTAAGCAATTTTTCTTCAATCAAAGCATTGAAATTCTTTTGCGAAGTAATAAATTCTTTAATATTAGATTCAAAATCAGAGGGCATCTTATTATAATTTCCATAAGAATTGTTGTAGGAATTACCATAATTATTAGAGGAATTACTAGGATACGGCCTAGGATTAAAGTTTCCTCTATACGCATTGTTACCAAAATTATTCCTACCAACAAAATTCACATCCATAGATTCATTATTATTCTCAATCAAAGTAGACAAATGCATATCATTAGGATCAGAAGAAACACTTTTATTAGCAAATAATTTCATAAGTTCATCCATCTTTCCACTCAAAAACATTAATTTCTTCTATCGCATGCACTTTCTTATTAGTAGATCTTTCAGTGTGCCATTGAGAATAATTAACCATAATATTATCTAGGAGTTTAGTAGCTTCCCCTAAAGTGATTTCCATAAAAGTGCCTCCCGCGGTCGAATCTAAAAGATTTCTAGAAGCAAAATTCAATCCGGCATAAAAAAATTGTATAATCATCCACAAATTCAAACCATATGTAGGGCAATTACGTATCATTGATTTCATCCTCTCCCAAGATTGTGCAACATGTTCATGATCAAGTTGCTTAAAATTCATAATATCATTTCTAAGAGAGATGATCTTAGCGGGAGGGAAATACTTAGAGATAAAAGCATCTTTGCACTTATTCCACGAATCAATACTATTTTTAGGCAAAGACGAAAATCAAGCTTTAGCACGATCTCTAAGCGAAAAAGGGAATAGCTTCAATTTAACAATATCATTATCCACATCTTTCTTCTTTTGCATATCACATAAATCAACGAAGCTATTTAGATGGGTAGCGGCATCTTCACTAGGAAGGCCGGCGAATTGATCTTTCATGACAAGATTCAACAAAGCAGCATTGGTTTCACAAGATTCAGTATCGGTAAGAGGAGCAATCGGAGTGCTAAGGAAATCATTGTTGTTGGTATTGGTGAAGTCACACAATTTAGTATTATCTTGAGCCATCGTGACAAGCAAGCAATCCAACACAAGCAAACAAGAAACGGGCAAAAAGAGGCAAATAGAGAAAGAGAGGGAGGATGGAGAGAGAGGGCGAATAAAGCGGCAAGAATGAAATGGGGGAGAGGAAAACGAGAGGCAAATGACAAATAATGTAATGCGGGGGATAAGGGTTTGTGATAGGTACTTGGTATGTCTTGACTTGCAACGGCGCCACAAGTGACTCGTTGTCGGGAGTCAAATCTTGACTTGTCTTGCGCGAACCTCCTCGGCAACGGTGCCAGAAATCCTTCTTGCTACCTCTTGAGCACTGTGTTGGTTTTTCCTTGAAGAGGAAAGGGTGATGCAACAAAGTAGCGTAAGTATTTCCCTCAGTTTTTGAGAACCAAGGTATCAATCCAGTAGGAGGCCGCGCATGAGTCCCTCGCACCTACCAAACCGCCGCCAGAAACCATGTTGATAAAGATCAGAAAAATTGCAACCTCACCGGAAGTCGCTAAGACACCTGCCCCACGGTGGGCGTCAGCTGTCGTGGGAGTAAGTCTGACAATAGAATAAGGGGTACGTAGGAGGAGGCAAGATCCTAGCTACGGTGAGATTGTGCACGCAAGGTTTACGAGTTCAGGCCCTTCTCGGAGGAAGTAACAGCCCTACGTCTCGGTGCCCGGAGGCTTGGTCGACTGGATTATGTGTGAGAGTTACAGGAGGTGTGAACCCTTGTGCCAGAGAAGGGGGTGGTTTATATAGAGTGCGCTAGGACCCCAGCTGTCGTCCGTTACATAGAGTTCAATGTACATTAAGACAGAGCATTACTGATAATGCCAGCTATAAAAAGATATAAATGATCTTAAAGACCGTGGAGTAAACGCCCGACCGTTGCCATCTTGAGTGGCTTTAGATCTTCTGTACTCCGAGTGGTTTCTTGTATGGTCAAGTGACTTCTTCTTGGTCGAATGGAATTGGTCTATCCGAGTGAAATAATTGGTCGAATGGATTGCACTCTAGGGTTACTTCAGTCGGTATCCTTTGTTGCACTTTGAACGTCTTGACTTTAGGGTAGTGACCTTGGGTAGGACGTCTTAGCGGGTCTATAACCCTACCCTAGGTTAATAGCATCGTCAGTTGCCGCAGGCGCCCATCTGCCCAGAGGCCTACACGGAGATCGTGAACATCTCCGACAATAAGTAGTTCAGATAGATAGGATATCTACGTAGTATGTAGGTTTTTATTATGCTTGGTTTGTATGGATTTGATGTATTAATTTTGAGGTATTTGTATGTAGCGGATGAATTTTGAGGTGTGACCTGTCAGTGCGTCCGCAGACGCGCCCAGACGCATTTGCAGACGTTTGAGGGCCCAAATTTGACGTTCTAAAAGGATTTTTTCATCATCTACCATCCTTTCACAGGATTGAGCGTGTTTGGGCATCACAATAGTCAACTACGTATCTTTTAGAAGATCGTTTCACTATTTTTCTTAGCATCCCACTCCACAAACCACAATGGTTAGCACGAGGTAGAGTCGGCATTAAGATTTCTCAGCACCAAGTTCTAACCAAAATTGGCCGCCGTTACAATTTGCATGCCTTGCATTCCATATTTCCTCAGCGTATATTCTCCTTTGCTAAAAAAAAGTCCTCAGGGTGTCTGACAAGAATATGCCGGTGTTTCAACATAGGGCCAGATAGTCCAATTAGTATACTCATCAAACAGAAGCGTAGGACGTAATGATGTGTGATTAGAACGTCCAAAGACAATCATACCATCTTCATGTCCACCTGTAAATCCGATCTACGCAAGTGCACAAACACAATCATACCACCCTATCATCCGAGGCTCCGATCCAGGCCATCATTGAGTGCCCATCGAGCCACGAACGCCTAATAAAATGGCCACCAATAAAAGCAGATCAGCCTCCACTCCACATTTTTTTACCCGAACCACATGCTCTCCGTCTCCGGAGAAAGTGCCGTGCCCACCACGCCCCTTGCCACGGAGGGCAAGGCAAAGCATGTGGTCAGTCAGCAGCAGTGCCTGCCATTTATGACCACTGGAGAGTTGAGACACACACCGCCTTTGTCCCGTAGCCCGGACGACAAAGGTTGCCAAGACGCAGCACGCGCATGTGGTGCGATTCCTGGCCTACGCTTTCCGCCGGGCTCTGCCTTATCGATCCGAAAGCCAAATCTAGCGCGCGCACTGTCGCGGAGGCACGCGAGGACAGCGCCGGTGGTGTTCGCTACAGCGCATTCAAGTCGCACAAAACCTCCGGCGGTGTCTCTTCCGGGAATTATACCGGTCCCGGCTCACGGGGGCGCAGTACGTGCGCGCGCGCGCGCGCGATGCCGTTCGTGTGGCTCGGCGCGCTTGGCGCATGGCGCATGCATGACGGCGGACCGCGGTCCCGGCGCCCGTGTCCGTGTCCCCCCGCTGTCCCGGCGCGTTTGGCCGGTTCTCCGGCGCCTGCGCCGCCCGGCGCGCTGACGGCTACAGGAGATCGGCTGGACGCCGGAGGAGCTGGCTATGGCGGCTACGCAACAAGGGGCGAGCGGCTCGCGCGCGTGCGTTGTCATGGCGCCGGGTCGTTCTTTGGGTTTGGTGGGCGGGCGGGCGTTCCGTTGACGAAACGGCAAAGGCGCGCGCGCGCGCTGGCATTGCCGTGGCGCTGCGGCAACAGAGACGCTCTCGCCGTCGGTGTGGACCGTGCAGTCGCGGAGCCTTCCGGCGACCCCAACGCCGGTAGGTAGACCTCTCAGAGGGGATGTCCCGGTCAGACGCTGAACACATATCACACACTAATCCCGAATCCCCTAAGATATTTTGTCGAGAACATAACACACTAGTACTTAGTACTACCAGAGTGATGTGATGAACTGGGTACAGTACTGGGCTTACGCACAGGTGCTGTGCTGCCAGACCACAACAACCTAACTAACACCATCATCATCTTTAACAAGACGAACGACCTAACTACATTATCCAAATTAACTCGGCGATTTATGGCCAAACGGCCTCACAGAACAGTTAGCCCAGTACCGTCCCGGCCCGGCCCGGCAGCCAATCAAAACCGCACGAGTCCACATCGCTCCGCTCCCACCAACATGTAGACCCATCGGCGTCGCGACCCCACCAGTCAGCGACTCAGCGTCCCACCCCCACTCCACCCACCAAGAGCCAGTTGGGGCGGAGTAGCTTCTTTTCTTTTCTTTCTTCTCTCGCGCACTCTGCCTCGCTTCCGGCGGAAGCAAAAGGGTGGCGACTGGCGAGGGCCATCCATCCATCCGAAAGGAAAGCACCTCCCACGAGCGAGTGAAGTGACACGAACGGGAAAGGGGAAGGGGAAAGAAAACCCTAGAGAAAACCCGCGTTAAAGCGGGGGGCCGCGGATCCGAATGTCGGGTGCTGCCGCCACGTGCTGCCGCTAGATCTCGCGCCAATGGCGACGCGCCCGGCCTCGCGCCAGCGGAAGGCTTCCTCGGCGGCGAAGGGCTCGCACCAGCAGGTTCAGCAGTCGGGCTCGCCGACGTCGACGGCGACCACGTCGTCGTCGCGGCTCACGCCGGAGATGATGTCGTCGCTCGAGGGGCCCGCGTCGCCGCGGCTCGTCGCGGGGCTGGACGCCGCCGACGCCGACGACGACCAGGCCGCCACCAAGGAGAACGTCACCGTCACCGTCCGCTTCCGCCCGCTCAGGTTCCGCCCGCGCTCTCGGGTCGATTCGGTTTTGGATATGGGGAATGTGGGTTGATTTTGCGTTTTGGTTCCTCACCTCCGTGTGACGTTTTTGAAGCCCGCGGGAGATTCGGCAGGGGGAGGAGGTCGCGTGGTACGCCGACGGCGACACGGTCGTGCGGAGCGAGCAGAACCCCAACGTCGGCTACGCTTACGGTACGTCTCACTCCCTTCCCCGTTGGTTGGCGATTGGATTGCTTGGCGGTTGTGGCATTGGCACACTGTTTTCTCTCTAGCTGTCATCTGTTTTGTCATATGGGGAATTTGCTGTGTCGTGTCGAGATGTTCAGTCCTGGCCTAAGCCAGGGGCTGAACTGACTAGATGGGATTTGGGGATACTTCTAATTTTAGATGGTTGGAATTATCTCATGCCGCCCTGCCACTGCTCGGTTTACTTTCCTAGAAATGTATCCAAATTTTCTATTGTGACCTTGGGATTCTGCATCAGTTTATCGGTGCATTTGGAATATGAACCTCATAAATCAAATCACTATTCGGTGTTTATTTTGCTTATAAGTTTCAGACCAATAGGATAATGTTAGTATTCTCAAAACAGTGCACCGATTCACGAGGGGTACATACTTCAACATGGTAGGTTTGTGTACTGAATTACTGATGCACTGGGGATTGGATAATGTGCACCGTCTAGGCTTTCTGTTCCCGTGCTAATTCACAATCCATATGCTGTTCTATGTAGGGAATTGTGCAAAACAAGTATTCACATGGCAGTCTAACATGCTTTAGCCATCTTAAAGGTTTAGCGCGTCGTGGTTGTACTTCATTAGCTCATGCTTAGGTGCCAGGGCGGCTCTTGGCTCTGTAAGAGGTGATTACATGAGAATTGACAGTTGGACGGCACATAACTTCGGAGGACTCAAGTTTACTATAGGTTTTTCCTTTGCACAGGAATCGATCGTTGAAATTTTCTGGTTATGGCGCTAAAACTATTGGTTCAGATAACGAAATTTCTAGGTACTTTTGTTTAAATGTTTGTTCACACATTCATTTGTATGAACAAATAAAACTATTTCAATATCTCCTGCACAGCTAGTTATTCGAGTGAAGTAAGCTGTTCCGTTACATGGAACAATTGCAAATTAATATCTGGGAGAAGTAGGCGCATTTCTGAGACTGGCATTTTATCTATTCTCTCCAGTTTCAAATTAAACTGTAGAGACTAATACTGTATTGTACTATTGTTACCCAGATCGGGTTTTTGCACCGACTACTACAACCCGCCAAGTATATGATGTTGCAGCTCAACATGTTGTCAGTGGTGCCATGGAGGGCATATATGGTAAGTGATATTTTATTCTGTTACCCTCTTCAGCTTTATCTTACAACTTAGTATTATGATAGCATCTTGTTCTTCCTTTCTGACTTACTTTTCTGATGAAAGAGGCTGGTTTCTGTTATGGAATGTCACTTTACTATGAGATCTTCTAGAGGTCATAGTGAATATGGTTGCAGTAATTATTTAATTGTGGCACAAGTTTATTGGTTATACAGTCGCAGTTCCATTTTACTACGAGATATGGTCTGAATGAGATTATAATGCAATGATGATTCTGGATCTCTCTAAGACTTGTAGTCTATTGGCCCTGCAAAGCAAAATATAATGCATTTTCATTATGCAGGAACAATATTTGCGTATGGCGTTACAAGCAGTGGAAAGACACATACGATGCATGTGAGAATACTTATGTAGCATCAAGCTTTTATTATTCTTTTACCGTAGGTATCAGCTATGCTATATTCATAACTAATGCTCCATTGGGTGTAATCCATATCCACGTTAGATGCTCCTGATACCATGTCTGTGATTATTATTTATTTTGTGTGATAAACTGATTATCCATGGAGGTAGGCAAGTTTCATTCTCTTTTGAAGATTACACTTAGAGTATACTCATTGATGAGAAAATGTGTTTTTCATTTTTATGTGACTAAGCTAATATTTACGAACCATCCGTTAGCTATACTTTTCAGTGCCACCAGTTTCTTGATATACTTCTTCTTTTGAGTCAGGGAGATCAAAGATCCCCAGGAATAATACCTTTGGCTGTCAAAGATGCATTTAGCATTATACAGGAGGTACTCTTTAAATATCATGATGAGATGATACATTCTTGCTAGTGCTGTAGTCATTGCTTCTTAAATTATAACTCAGCTTGGTTTTTCTTTGTAGACCCCAAACCGCGAGTTTCTCCTGCGTGTGTCATACTTGGAAATTTATAACGAGGTTTGCTAATTGTTGCTGCAATCATATTTCTTGTCTTCATAGTATTTGTAATCTTTTTCCATGTTTTACTGAGAAAAGCACGTGCTCCCATGTACATACTGGTTTCTTCTTTTTCGTCTAGATGAAAAGGCAAGGCAGTGTTCCAGCTGTTTGTTTGACCCCCCCCCCCTCCCCTGGTTACCAGGGTTTGTTCTGAAATAAATC